TAATATTTTATATAAATATAATTTATAAAATTTATAGGTAAGGAATCCTTACTCGCGTGTATCTATAACCGTCTGCATTTATAAGGAAATATATATGTACCATATTGTGCTATTTTCAAATAAGATATTGGATTTAATGGGCCACATAAACAAGAAGGCAAGACCTAAGTTAACTTCATAAACTTGTTTTAAAATTTTGATTAAATTCTTTAATTTTTATTAAAGTAAATAAACTTTAAAAACCATTATTTTATGAAGGATTTAATATTTATTTGTGCCTCGTTTATATGAATAAAATATCAACATATCATTATTTATGTAACGAGTACTAATTTTGTTCACACGCAAAATACACAAATAAAGTTAAGTCTCTTAAAAAAAGGGCTAAATTATCAAAATTACCTAATTCATGGATTTATTTATTTCAACAAAATTTAAAAATTTAATAAAAAATTTAAAATAAATTTAAAAGCTTATTGTATGGTTTTGATAAACAAGAATCCAAAATTACCTTTCACTTATGTGATCGTCATGGTCACTCTTTTTATTGAGAAATAGGTAAGGACAACTTAGTTCTTCAAGTCGAGTGTTTGTCTTGACATTTTCCTATCTCTTTAGTATAGATGCTAACACTATCAATGTAATTTTTATTTTTTTAAAATAATCCAAAATTATCTTCAATCTCTAAGCAGATCTGAACCACGTGCTCTATATCTTTACCCTCTTCATTTCGGAGACATCGAACCTGCCCTTTTCTTTCTCTGGATCGAAAATGGTTTTCCAAATTACTTTTTACGAATGGAATTAAATTTCTAAGGGTAATTAGTAAAATTAAATTCAGAAAAATTAGTATAATTTATTAAAAAATTAAAATTTAAATCCTTATGGGCTTAAACACCAAATCTTGGGGCAAGTTTTTGTTTTTCCAATTCGGTCAGTGGTTGAGGCCTCCATTGGACTTTTTGTACACGACTCAGCGGGGTTCTGTGAAAGCCAGCCCAGCCTAATTAAGGCCTTTTAGAGTCTCAAATAGTGACCCGAATGTTTCCAGGCCCGAAGGCCGCTGTGGGCTCCTCTACTAGACTTGACCTTAGCTGTGTTACATTTCCTATTTGAAACTTATTTTAGGCAAAACCCTTCTTAAGCTTGTAGGCTTTCAAATTAACAAGTGGGCTCCTAAATTAAAAATAAGCAAATAAGCACTCAAATCCTTCAAATGATGCAAATTAGCTCTTATCATATGCAACCTTACACCATTTGTTATTTTCTTCAACTAAGTTCAACTTTCAAAAGGAAGGTAAAAGGGAACAAAAAAACCATTAGGCAATAAAAATTCCACTGAAATGCTCCACTTTTCAAGGAGTTGTGTGAGCCATTTTAATTTGACTTTTACCGCAAAATGGATCCTTTGATCTTTGTCCACGTTCACATAAAAAAATGAGACCAAAGGAATGAAAAAAGCCAGCATGAGGTCATTGTGTGTGTTGGGCTGGTAATGATGATGGCTTATTTGCATTTTTCAAGAGATTTAAGAGTCAATTTGCATTATTTGAGGGATTTGAGGGTTATTTTGCACCGTTTTGTTCAAGAGCTCGTGTTAATTCAGGGTAAGTTTGGGGGGGTTTCAGAGGGGGTTTTCCTTTCTTTTATACTTCTTTTCCCATGTCCCAAAAGAAAATTACTGAAGTTAATCTGTGATAACAATGGATGTAATGCTTCAAAAACTTCAAATCCAATTCCAGTACTTCATAAGTACATATACTATTTACAATTTATTCATCAACTCACCCTGTTCTTCTCTGAAGTTTTTTAATTCCTCTTGCACATTTCTGAAAATCTTTCAGGTGAAGTACAAAGCAACATCATCAAATTTTTGACTAAATCAAGGTTCCTAATCCTATGTTGAGGATCTGACAAAAAAAGGGCAACAATAAAGAAAAACAATCAAAAAAATATCTATATATTTCATAGACAAGCTTGAACTGCATATATATTTTGCTCTGAAGCTCACTCGTATCAAGTCTACATAAATTTTATTAGAACATAACTAATTACATATTGGAACTCCAGCAATATTCATCAAAGACGCTTCTTGTTTATTCTGATATATTACTCTTCCTGCTACCGATAAAAGAACAGCAACCGCCCATCCCATGCCTGCATTTCACCAAGATAACAAATATTACAGTCAAAAAACATGGAGTAAAAAGATAAGACTTTTTCCTTCAAAAGCAAAAAGAAGCCCAAAGTAATTGCCCTAAAAAGAAGGAAAAGAACAACCAATTTATTTATATGTATGTATTTATGTTTTGCCTTTTCCTGCTTTCCTCTGTTCCTCCCCTGTTTCTTTCATTGAAAATTCCTTTGTCCCTCCCCTGTGTGTTTATCATAAAACAAACTGATATTCTCTAAGCATGCACTGTTTCACAATCCAAATGGTAAAACAGGGACAGTTTGATGGTGGCTCCCAATATCAAGGGCTCTCCCTCGTCAAATGGTTTGTGTTTTACAGTCCGGAACAATTTCAACTGTAAAACACTTTTTCGTTTCTCTAATGTTTATAAAAGAAAAACAGACCTATGGTTTTCAATCCCATTTTCCTCCTCTGGCTTCATCACATAGGAAATTGGGCACTAGATCTTTGCATAGAATCCCAAGACACAATCTAATTTAAATGTTAGCAACAGACATCAAACAATTTCAGCTAAAACATACCTTCTGCTGGCAGTGCTGCTGCTGCTACTGCAACTGCTGCTACGGCTACTCTTTGTGCTTCTGCTATGGATACTTGATCCTCCACTCTCACTCTCACTTGACCCCGAAAACCTCTTCTTCCACCACTCCTTGTCCTCAGCCTTGACAGATGCATCCGAGACGGATGGCCTCGGAGATACTTTGGACTTAGAATTAGAATTGGAATCATTCTTCTTTTTCTTTTTCTTGGAACCAAAAGAAACTGGAAAAACCATCTTCAGAAGAAAGCCTCCATTGTCTATACTCCCAGTTCTTGTTATTTGCGCCTTCTTTACATTCGTCTTCTTCATTTCCTCCTTTTCCCTCCTGTAATTATCTTCAGTGACCGCAGTACTCTCTTGTTTCGCCTCAACCATCGGTTGCTCCACTAGATCCCTCAGGGAAAGCTCGTAGCACGACTCGGGCATTTTACTCACCATCTCCATGAGCTCCCTTTGACCTCTAGCAATCGCCTGAGCTTTTGATGACGGTGACAGGCATCGGTAATGGTTTGGTTTCCGCGGTGGACTCCCAGGCCATAAAGGAGGAGTCCGGACTCCAGATTCATCTTCTCCATCCCCAAATCTTCCTTCCCTACCATTCCAACTCCTATAATTACCATAACCCTGCACTGTCTTCTGTGTCCGGACAACACCTAAGTTTAAGGCATCAAAACTTTGTCCTAAGAAGTCTGGAAAATGAACATGCTTTTGTTGGGACAAATTGGGGTTGGGATCAAACATCGTTTTTTGTGAGCACATGGTTTTTTGTGAGAACAAGTAGGTAGGAGGAAGGGGAAGGGGAAGGGGAAGGCGAAGGGGAGAGACAGTGAATGGGAGGAGGTGGGTGCAGAGGCATTATCATCACAGAGACCTTATTTTTTTGGGTCAGTATGTCATCTCTTGGGGCAATTTGATTTTTGTATTTTATTAATGCGGTAGCTTCGGCTCATAAAAGTCAAGGATTTCTAGATGGGGCTTAAGGAATTGGGTCCCCTACACTCCCCACCAATCACTTTCTCATTTTGGTCCTTTTTGTCATTTGATGAGGTTTTGTTGCCTTTATTTTCTTTTTATGTGATTTTAAATGCAACAGCATGTCCTACCCGTCGCCCATGTTCTGACTTTTGCTCACAAAATTTTCCGTTTCCAACAAGTTTGTTATTTTTCCATAAAAACCATTCTTTGTGTATGTGGCGCTTAGGACCCCAAACTAGAGGAATTTGTGATTAACCTTGCTACATGAACTATTGGTTGGTTTGAGCATGACGTTGTTCAACTGGCATGACAAATCTCAAATGTCACATTGGGTTTGTACGTGTGAGCTTACGCATAGCTGTGTTATAAGTACTAAAAGTCATACCAAACTTTAAATAGGTACCAAACATAGAATAGGACTCAAATCTCATTTTAAGCCATACTCTCTAATAACAATGTTGCGTATTTTCGGGTATCGAGTCCAATCTTTTGTAAAATTGTTAAAAAAAAAAAATAATGTTACGTTTTTTAAACCACATCATACTATGAATTTTGTATATACATAAAGCAGAAGGTCATAACCCAAGAAATCAAGAATTAAAAGAAAAATGGCCATAAAAAACTACTCCATATAAATACTCTTGCGCAATGATAATGTCTGATTAGGTATGGACCGTCTCCTGCTTTTCAGACATTAGTGGCGGAGTTTTATAGGCATGACTTCCTTTTGTTTACTGGGGATTACACTTTTTATTTTCGTTGGGGATGGAAAGAATATCCCTCAGCTAGCTGGCCCTCCATGTTTTACCAAAATAAAAAAATCTAGCTTTCCATGTTTTAAAATATGTTGCTGAAAATTAGCCTAAAATTTTCTTAAATTTATACGGTAAGTTGATTTTTTTTTTTTTTTGAATATAAGCAATGGAAGTAAGTTGACTATTCTTTATGGTATTGGAGAAAATTAAAATATCTTGATAATTAAAATGTTAAAGATAGATAATAATAAAATTAAAATACTTTTAATGAATTAATATATAAAAAGTATTCATCAAAAAGTATTTGAAAACTTTTGTAAATACTTGTTGATTTAAATAAAAAAAATTTAATTTTTTTAAAAGGAAATAATTTTTCTTTTTATAAAATCCAATACAATTTAACTTCAAATTAATTAAAATTTAATATAATTTTTATATAACTAAAGATTAGTAAATAAAAAAATTCTTACCAGAAACTTTGATATTTAAGTTGCCAGAATATGCTTTTAATTTTTTCATACTTTATATATATATATATTTCATTTTCTCTCTTATTATTTCACTCCCTTCCTTTGAACCTTAAAATACCCCTTAACTAACTCACAATTTTATTAAGTTTTAATAATTATGATTAATTCTTTTCTTTGTTTCACCTAACATAAACACGGGTTTCGCGCATTTCAATATTATATAACTATTAAAAAAAAATTTGTTGTAAAATAAGATGAATGTAAGTTATTAAGTTCTATTACAAAAACAATGAATGTTCCTTTTCAATTGGAAACTTGGTCATCGCTCAATTATTGGTGCTGATGAGCCCGTGAATCACTTCTACTTTTTATTTGTATCATGGGATCTTCTCTTTCACCTTACCCAAAGACAAAGAAAAAGGCAAAACTTTGAAGTGATATCTTCTACTTTATTTCCCCATTCCCCACTTCCCCTGTCAGCGTTTACCTTTATAATTCCCCCCAAAAGGGGAAAAAATAGTAACATAAGTTAGGTCCATAGGGGAGTCAGTAGTTGCATCCAATACATAAAAGTGACGTCTCATGCCTAATTAATCAATTAATCAAGCAACAACCTAATCATGTTAATTTTGCTTAATTTCTAGGTAAATTAGGCAAGCAAGCTTAGAAGGTAAGATGTTTTTGGTGAAATAGTAATAATCTTTCTTAAGATATATAAATGTTTCAAAATAAGTTAATTAATTAAAATGATATTTTTTTATATTAAACCTCATATATACGAAAGTCATATTAAATATCAATTAAATTTAGTAATGTTAGATCTCATAAAAGGAGAATTTTCATAATGCTTATCTCTTTATTTATATCATTTAAATTCAAAATTTTATTTTAAAAAATTATATTCCTTTTATTCATAGTAATAAGTCATCGAATAATTACAATAACATTAGCAATGAAATTGTTGGGTCATTTCCCTCGCTTCTTCGTGGAAATTGAAAAATGGTAGAAAGAAAGAATTGAAAATAAAAATTGGTGATTGGAAATTGGAAAAAATTGAAGGGGGGCTAGGGGAGGGGTGTCTAGGAAGAAATTTCTTGGTCATTTAAGTCATGACATACAATTATAGTAAACGACCAAACGTCCAGAATACGACCTCTTATATACTCTTCCTTTTTTCCCCCACGTTGTTTCTCGTGATATATAAAAATAATGCCTTGTCACTTTCATCGTGCAACTTGTTCCAACAAACTTGCGAAACAAGTGAAGAAAAATAATGAAGATGTTATGCTGTCAACACAGTCCAGCCACATATTTGTCCCTGTTACTAAATTTTATTATACATATTCCAAGAGAAAAAATATATTTGGAACTTGAAAGATTTTGGTTTGAACACTATTTAGATTAAAAGGTAAATTATACAAATTAATGCATAAATTCCATTTCATGTTGATAATCACCTCTTCAATTTTTTTCATTAATAAATAAACTTCACTAGTTGTTTTTTTAGACAAATTAACTTTTATTTTAAATGATATCATCAATCTATTACATATTTGTTTGATTTTTTTTTTATTGGTACTATCTCTTTTTCCCCATTAGTGTTTTTTTTTTCTTTCAAACTTGGAATTTTTTTTTTCTTTTCCCCGTCCCCTCTTCTCACATGACCTTAGAAACATGCTTTTTTTGTTTTTTCTTTCCCCTTTAGTTGAAGAATAAATAGCTCCAATTTTCAGTTAAAATCAACCTTAAACTATACACAATTCCCTCCAAACCAACGATTTATAACCATAAATTTTAACTCTTAATAACCTATAGTTGGAGGATGCACATAGTTTTTCAACCCCAACAAAATAAGAGTGAATTTGTTTTGATTAACAACTAAAGACGGTTATTTGTTAGTTAAAAATTTGAAAAAACAATTATCGACCTAGAGTGGAGTAGAGAGATTGATTTACATAATCTTCCTATTAATAAATGAAGACTCCAAATTCGTTCAAGTCTACGCCAGTTTGTAAAATTCTATGGTTAGCATTATATTGCGTTTGGTCGATTGATGATGACGGATGATAAAATGACTAGGGTTTGGTATCTTTAATAATTCACTGTATATATGAACTTGGAAGAATGTATATTTGTCGGTTGAGATTGATGGATTTGTTTGTAATATTACTAAGTGAAGAAACCTTATAAAAATTCAATAGTCTTCCTTACAAATCAATTAATTTTGACATAAATAGTATGCTTTTAATTGAATCGAAAGGGTAAATTTAAGGCCTATTTGGTGTAGCTTGTGGGAAGCATTTCTTGGCTTCAAAAGCACAAGCTACATTAAACGTTAAAATTAATGAAAAATGCTATAATTTTTTACAAGTTAACCTTTTTTCATTTCATTACAAATCTCATAAGTATCGAATTCGTGCTTTTGTATGAGTTTTTTATTTGAATTTTAATGAAATTAACATATTATTTTTATTTTATTTTTATTTTTTATTTATAAAAATAACACTTCTATAATAATTTATTTTTAACAAAATTTCTATTAAAAATTTCAGTTACACCAAATAGGACATTTAGTGTCATGTTTGCACTCACTGCTACACCAAAAATATTACAACTGGATATGGACCTAAACAGAAAATCCTGGTCTCATCTCCCGAACAAACCAAAGCTTGGAATCACAACTGGGCCGTTGACCCAGTAATAATATGTAGCAAAATGGGCAGTTGACCCAACCCTAGAGGTATTATCGAAGTGGGCCCTTTGTTAAGGTTTCGTTTCATAGTTACGGGCTTTAAACTTTCCGCCCATTGAGAAGTCAGAATTTTTCTGGTCTGCCGTCAACCTGTGTAAATGGCGGCCGCACGGACTCCCACCGTGGTTACATTTGACTTTCTTGTCCTAGGTTCTAACATTAGCATCGTGGCCTCTTCTGTTGACAACCCAGTCGTAACGGCAAGCGGCGCCGGCGACTCAACCATTTCACAACCCAATTCACACCTCATGGATGGGGCCCCGACCCAGAAAAAGCAGAACGCGCTTACGTAGTTTTTCTCCTTTTCAATTATCCACCAATAGTTAATAATGCAAAATTCATTATATGTATTATTTTATAAATTAAATTTAAAATATAAATTTTAAAATTAATTTTACACTAAACCCACATAGGGTGTAACTTGAAAACATTTTAACTGTTTAAAAAAAATATATTTAAGCAAGCTTATGATATGTTTTGGTTGTTAAATTTTTCAAAAAAATTGTTGTCTTGAAAGCAGACTTTTCCGGATCCCCCCTATACCAACGTCTGGAATAGTCGTTCTCTTGCGAAGGCAAAAGCTAGAGTTTAGCCCCTAAGTTTTTTTTCTATTTTTTCACATAAGCTCATAAAGGAAAAAAATGGCATATAAGCCCCTAGATGTTTAGATTTAAGCAAATGAGCTTTGATATTAATGGCAAAATCGTATGTAGTAATGTAAGTTAACAGTTATTTTTTATGTACCACCAAAAAAAATTATTATTATTATTTTGTTTTTTTGACGATTCCTTTATATTTAGATATTGAAATAATATAAGATTTAATCTTTTAATTTTTAAAATTTTGAACTATATACTGTAAATATTCAAATGTAAAAAAATTATCATTTCAACATGGAAATGTAAAGAAATTATCATGTATGCCGAAGAAATTAATTACTTAACTTACGTGATTTTGCCCTTAACATAACAATTAATTTATTCAAATTTAGATGTGTAGGGACCTGAATGTTACCCTTTTTAAGGGTTTATGTGAGAAAATAAAGAAAGTCTAGGGACTTAACTTTTGGGTTTTGCCTCTTTAAAATTGCAGAACAGCTGGCCAAACATATTTTTAAGGTGTAAAATTATTTTTATTTTTCAGATAAATGATTCTTTAAAAATGAAATTGATAAAACAAAAATAAAATGTGGATTGACATATCACACGTCATTTGTTTGTTAGGGCCTAGAGGTGCTGCCTACCGACCACTAATAAAGTACAAAAATGCATAATAAGTGTTTTACAATGTGGAAGGTGAAATCTATAGATATTTTATTGTATTTATTATTATTATATATATATTTTTAAGCAGACTAACTTTTAATGGAGAAGTTGACAATGAGTTTAATTTGACCCATGGAGGAGTATTTATTAGAAAAGGAAACTATCATAGAATTTCCATTGGCTCAGTTTTCATATTTTCTTTTTGTATGTTCCTATTGGATATTTGCATTCTGACCAGATATTTTTCTTTGTTTTTTTCTTAATAGTGTGTTTGAATTAGGGAAGTTAGAGGTGAATGGAAGGAGAATAAGGAGAAGATGCTTTTTTTTTTTTTTTTGAATTACTTATTTTAATGGAAGAAAAGAAGATGGAGGAAGATAAAATCCTTTCACTCCTTTGTTTTTTATTCCTTTAAATTGAAAGGATAGTAAGGAATTAGTTTTATATAATTAATTTTTTTAAATTTTTTTAAAAAATAAATATATGAAAATATTTTATTTTAATTATTTTTAATTAATAAATTTTTAATATTTTATTTTATTTTTTAAAATTATTTAATTAAATAAAAATATTATTCTTCATTCTTCTTTACTTTTATCTATTCGAACAGAATTAACACTAATCCTTTGTTTCTCTTCACTTTTTCTTTTTTCCCTTCCCCCTCCCAATGCTTCCTCTCCCTTTACTAATTTTTATCCAGATAAATGCTAAACATTTTATTATTTCATTCATAAATATTTTTTGATCTTTTTTTTTCTATTTTGATTTTGAGTTATCCACTATTTCACATTTTTAATTCACTTTACTCATTTTTCATTTGATTTAAATTTATTATTTTTATGGGATAACATAATTGGTTAAA